TGATTTTTCCTGTGAGGAAAGATGCTTAGCAGGCACAATGTAGCAGGGGGCACAGCCGTAAAACAGCTACCTGGAAGAAATAAAAGGATGGGGTGTAAAAAGGAGTAAATATATAAATGGAGCATGAAGAAAAGCCATTACTCATGTTTACAGGGTTTGAAACTCGAGGTTTTCATTTATGAGTTTGGGGTGGAGTAATGATGGTGTAGCAGTGCATGCATTCGCTGCTAACAGGGAGTGTGAACGTGTGTGTCATTACAAGCTTTGAAAAATGCACAGACATTAAATGTGTGGCCAAAGGCACAGACACATACACACGGGAACACGTGCTGGTGTGTGTGTGTGTGTGTGTGTGCGTGTGTGTGTACCTTCATTACTCATTTAGTCCTGTGTACTGTGAGTAAGAAGTTGATCGTGCCCCACTGGCACACAATGTTTGTGTGCTGTGTTATTAGGATATTATGATAATTGTGTTGTGCTTAAAGCCCAAGCTTCAAGTCATCAACATGACTCTACAATTTGCCCACAAACATCAGCTCGCTCTCATATCTTCGTAACTCTATCAGCTTAAAACAACAAACTACTACAACTCCACAACCACTTGGGCTCCTTTTGTTTACTGAAACAATAAATGATGAAAATAAAAACGATCTTACTTAAAACACCCAACAGATGCCTTTTCTAATTTAATGTGCTGTAGAAATAATATAATTTTCTAAAGTGTATTTTCAACTATACAAGAGATAGCTTTACCAGCTATTTACACCTTACAATTCAGAGGCAGTGCGGCAGTTCTGTGATCTGTTTTATTTTTGATCAAATAACACCTTCTAATAACTCTGGAAATTAAACATTTAATACAAAATTATCATTAATCAATTTATTGATGTTTAGGGTTTGCATATCATATTTTATTTTTTATTAGGGAAGGTGAAAACCAATTGAATCCTAATTTATTATTATCAGCTGGAAAGTAACGGTATTAAATATTTTAACCATTATAACTGTAATTTAAGAAATTCAGAATCAAATGGGAATATTTCATTGAGTTCTGTGTTGTTTAAGTTTACACTTAACTTACTGATCTGTTAAACAGTGTGTTGATGACAGACAAAATAACGTTAGTTTATCAGTACAGAAATGTATGCTGGCACATTTGATAATGGAAGTTTTCCCAAATTTATTGATTTTCACAAAAAGAGTTCATATGTAATCAATATTGGCTACATTGGATCGCTGCACTGCTCGTCACATTACGCATAAGAAAAATCTAAATACCTAAACACGAAGCAGCACTTTTTCTGAGGCTGATGTGTGAGTCTGAAGAGGGAAAAAAAAATCAGAGCGAACAGTCTTTTGCAGCTACGATGCCCTGCGGCTAGCCGAACTGATTGATTCCTTCTCTTTGATGACAACGCACATGAAAACCTGGAATATCTTATGGAACAGCTGTTTGCCAGCTTCAGATGAAAGACTTTCACAAAGTGTTTAAAGCAAAACGGAAGCTTTAAAAAAAACATCACCTTACCCAAAATGTCTGTTATGTTTAAGTGCATGGGGAGAATTTTTTATTCGAAGTTCTGTGTTTGCTATAGATGACTACCAGTCTTCAGATTGCACCCGAAAGCTGCAATAATAAGCGTTATCCAGGCTTCTGGGGGCAGGATAGTTTCACACGTCACAGGTCAGCTTTGGCAGAGCAGAGTGTGAGCTGTCCCTTAAGGATGCTGGCACTTGTTCTCCATTCATACTAGAATTAGCTTTTAAGACCCAATATTTACACATCACCACACATGGCCCACAGGCAAGCACGGGCCATTTTTCATTTTTAAAGCTTGTCATCAGTGCCTGTTTCTCCCGTGTGACAGGCAGGTTTGAATTGAAATGCTTCACAGGAAGCCGTGTGCTGACTCTACATGCCATCTTTTCCTCTGATTCCAAAACAGTTACTCTCCGTGGATGAGAGGGAATAAATTAGAGCTGGAGACGGGATGCTGACTGTTTCAGATAAAAAACAAAGCTCAGCTCCACGCTGTCAGACACACGCTCGCATTTTAAATGTTTTTTTGTGTCTCCTGAAGAGTGTTTAAGAGAACAATGATTTCTTTACAATATAAAAACACACTCATGGACACACAATGGTTTTATTGAGAGCTATTGCAGGGTACGATCCCACGTTGCTATGGTGATTGTGATGGACACCTGCTGTATGTACTGCATTCGTGCGTCTTTGAAAATGTGTGTGTGTTTCAGTCAACCTGGGCAGTCAAGTGCAGTTCCCTTTTAGATGCCACAAGTGGCTTAATTAGCAGAAAACCCAGTCAGCAGCACCCCATAAAGACTGGTTTCATCATGGATTAGCAATTAATCAGCAGAACATCATCATCAAACAATCAATGTTAGAGCAAAGATTGGAGTGACTTCTTTATTCTAAACTGTGGGGAGATTGGCATTTTTTGTCTTATAGATGTCGTTCCACCTTTTCATCCCGAAGCAGATATTAACATGACTGAGGCAGATATGAGTTTTTTGGACAGTGTGAGGAAGTCAGTGTGATGGGCTCCTAATGAGCCTTTCAATGCCTCTGTCTTGTCATTAAGTATTCATGGTCCGGATATTTTTAACGTGCAGAGCCATCAGTACTGGGCTTAAAGCCTCCAAAACACATCAGGCAGGATCTGACTCTAAAAACTGACAAAAAAAAGTCTGGCCTGTCATTGGTTTAAACAGGCAGGCCATGTTACCCAGCTCAGGTTTCCACCTGTGAGCTGTCACTGTGACGGGCGGCATGTGGCACCAGGAAAACAGCTCCTCACAGGGAGCTGGCTCTACCGCTTTATAACACACACTCATGTTGTCAAGAAGCCTTGTGGAGTCTATTTGCTGACTTCTGGAAAGTGCCAAAATAATCCATCACTTTCATCACATTCGGTCAATAGTTTTCCAAGGACTCTATACTAAATTAATACTAAATACTTCTTTTCCTGGTCTTTATTTTTTCAGATACTTTACTTTTTATATGTCACATCACAATCATTGTTGTAATTTACATTTGCCATTTGACTTTTTCTATGTATTTGTTACTTTAAGGTTGTTTTCTTCTACAATATTAATATCATTAACATTTTTCTTACATTTCTTCACTGAAAATATGTTTAGAGCAAAACCATTGATAAGGAAGGCTGGATGTTTATCCAGGTCAGTCACTGAACATATTTATACAGTGTTTTTGCATGGCAAATTTTCTGTTTCTGACCATTTGTCGGTAGCTGTTCTGCCTCTTGTATCTTTCTTGGCCAGAAAATGCGGCGTTACTTCTGGCTACTTAAAATTTCCCTGCATCTGTTTGGGGGCTGCGGCCCTATTCAGGGGCACAGTGTTTTGGACTCCGGGTGCACTGAGTGGATTTGTTTTGTGCAGAGCCATGGTGATAGGTCGCTGAGGAATGATGGTGATTCAAGCATACTGCCCATTTCTCATGCTTTAGACACCTAATTTGGTGATGGTTTTAATAATTCATATGTTTTGCTGGGTGGTTAGGAACATTTGTTTTGTGAAGTGACAAATTCGAGTACATATTTATCAAGGCTTAAATGTAAATTTACAGACTCCCTTGCACAGGATGAAGCAATACCAGGTGTTCAAAATGTCAAATTGCCACTAACATTCAGTTAGGATTCCCTGTTCACTTTTGGGTTTTCTTATTAAGTCTAGTGAAGACAAACATTTAATTACTCACTTTTCATTCTCGAAATACATCTATAGCACCTTATTCAAAACGTTTCCAAGCTGGAGGTGGGCATGATGCGGGCTTTCTGATTAATGATAACCAGAAAACAAGCAAACTTGCATGGTACCCTAACAATGCATAATGTGTGTGTGTGCAGTGGAGCAAAGGAAATCTTTCTGTCTTTGTGCTGCCATAGTAGTACAATGAAATCGAAGGCCTTAGGCAGGCTTACCGTGGAAGGGCTGTGGGAATGTTTTGCAGCTGCATCTATACACCGTGCACATTTAAGCCTTGGATTTGGACCAAGGCTGTGTGTGTTTGATGATTTAATCATAGTTTTACATTGTTGGAAGACACTGCAACTCTGACTGGCATCAACCTGCCCAACCCTGTAAATTCATTCTTTTCATCGTTTATGCAAAATGGTGATATTTCCATTTTCAAATCTATCAGAACAAAAAGACTGCTACGTAGCACGGCTGTGGTCCTCTACCCTCACCCCTTTGTCTGCCACAATGGGCTTACTGTAATCAGGCCCTTTTTTCCAATATGCCACGTTCACATTTAATCTTTCTCTTTCAGCAGGAGTATATCTCATTACACTCCTTCTGTTCTGTGTGCCCTAAACCAATTGTGCAGAAGTTATGGGGTTCTCTCTGCAGAAGCTGTTGCCTGGGTATTGCAAGGATCTCAGAAAAACGGCGAGCACAGAAATATGGTAAGCCTGTCGGACTCATTGATGTACAGGCACTGGCACACAGAACAGAGGTGAGGAATTCAGGAATGAATAAACCCACAAGTGAATTAAGAAATATGTGAAAATTATCCTATAATTATTACTGTTGGACATGGTATTAGTTGTTGCTTGGTGTTTCTTTAAAAAAAAATTAAGATAAGTGAATAGGTTGAAATGTTTTAATCTGGATGAATGAAGCCTTAAAGCTGTAAATTTAGTGAACCAACACTCCGTTTTTAACTTTGTTGATAAGTATACATGTGTGTAAAACAAGGCTCTCAGAAACATGTTAATAAGCTGAACATGTGCATGTGTTGAGGTGTGCATTCATTGCGCTAATAATGCTTAATTCAGATTCCAGATTTTACTAGATTGATTCTATTTCATGCGATTCTATTACATGCATATGCATCATCATTACATCAGACACACTTTAGATCTTGTCCCTCTTATTCTAATTTCCTTGTGCATGCTATATTTTGTGCATAGTTTTTTGGGGTTAGGGTGTGAGCACAATCAAAACACGAGGAAGAGAAAGCTCAAACTTCATTTATTTTCATCTTGACGTAATTCATATGTGATCAAAACTAAGATTGACTATAAGTATAGAGGTGCATACATTAAACAATGTATTTAGTGTACACATGCACGAGTCTGCTGTAAGCATTAAGTTTGTATCGTTTTTTGTCGTGTGTGTGTAACAAAGCCTGCATGATTGCCTTTGTTACGAAACATCGAATCACAGTAATTCCAGTAAAAGTTTCATCTGAAGAAAAAGTCAAAAATTGTCAGCAATTCATCCTTCTCTTTCCTCTCAAAGATAAAGTTTGTCTCTTTTTTTCTCTGTCCATCTGTAGCTCCTCCCTGTGTGTGGCTGATTTTTCTTGTTTCGTTTGTGTGGTCCGGGCTTCTGGATCTCAGCGGTCTGCGTTCATTTTGCGTAGCTTTGCTGGCAGATTGTCCTCCAGCCTGCCCCCGGCTGAGAGAAGGGGGCTGTGCATGGGGGCCGGAGCGGGGGTCAGCGGGGTCGGCGGGCTGTGCTGGCACAGGTCTCCGGTGGACTGGGTCATTGGCTCGAAGCCCACCTTGAGGGACTTGAGCTGCAGCCGGCTCTGGGCCCCGGGGCTGGGCGAGGAGCTGAGGCGCTGCAGCTTGAGGGGAAGGTCCCCCGTGCTGCAGGCCTTCTCCGAGTGCTGCGAGCTGAGCAGAAGCACCTTCCTCTGCAGGTCTTCCTTTCCGGAGGAGCTCATCCTCTGCAGTTTGCTGGGCAGCCGACCCCCGGCCCCTCCCTGGCGGCATCTCTCCTCCGAGGTGTTGATGCAGTCCACGGAAAACACCCGGTCGCGCCGGGCCCCGTGGCTCTCGGTCAGCGCCGGGGTGGGAGTCGACAAAGGGGACGGCAGCGAATTCTTCTCTTCGTGCTCTTTGACGCTGTACGGCGGCGTGGGAACCTCAAATGTGCTGTGAAACTGAGAGTAGTCTACCCTGAAAAAGCCCTCTTCCAGGGACATCACGGGCAGGAAACGATGGCCCCATAAAACCTCATCCTCCGTGTACGATGTCCTCGCTTGGCATGTCATTCCTAAATGAGGGGGACAGGAGGGTAAAAGGAAATAAATGTATTAAAATGACTTTCAAACCAAACAATTATTGGCTGATAAGAAGAAATAAGAGAGGACTGGAAGGAGTTTCTCTTATTATCTTCTTCCCCTCTTCTTTATTACTTTCGGGGAGAGCTTCATCCTTCCCCCGGATTGATCATCTACTTCAATTTAGTCACATACTAGAAATACCTTAACACAGAAGCAAATGTATTTGAAAGCATTTCTTGGTTAATGGACATAACCACAAAGCTTTTATGAGCCATTATCACAACTTTCAGACTTCTTACTTTCAGTATGTCTGTAACAGGAAGATATTTTTTGTTCCACGTGACATTCACACTGAAATAGGTTTCTCGACTTTTGTAGGTTTGTGGGATTTACTTCACAATCAATAAGCATTTAGTCCATTTTTTAAAACCAGTGGCTCTGCCACAACCTCTGTAAAACACCACTGTTTCCTGAAGAGTAGGAGTCTGGTTGCGTGCCTCTGAGGGATATGAGTTTTGTTATGTCATAGCGCTATTCCAAGCTCACCAAGCTTCAACCCTGCATCGACTCAAAGATTTTTTCTCAATCCTCATTTAGCCTAAAGGTTTGGCTTTAATTACTGCAGTGAGTGCAGAATCATTTCCAGCCCTTTTTTTCTTCTCCTAAGAGGTGAATATCTGTGTTTCTGCTGACTGTCGATGGAGAAGCAAACGGGATCATCAGTGAGATCGAGGCTTGTGGGTTTTGAGCCTGCCAGGCATGTCAGCTTAGTTTCATCTTTCAGGCATTACCCGGGCTTTTGAACCATCTGAATAATGTTCACCGCAATATTGTGTAAAAATAAAAACTCTCTGCACAACAAACTATTGGGAGACAGAAACAGGAGGACCTTGGTGACTTCTCACAGTTTTTGCTGGCACTGCCACAGTTTTCTGACTTCGTTATAATGATTTACCTTTTCACAAAAACGCTGTGAATATAATGTCTGTATTTAACTGGAGACTGAAGTTGTCGACATATTGGTGAAAGTTATCTATACAAAGGACCATTCTATCACAACATATTAAGGTAAATAGCTTGTTTCTGTTCAATGCTTTTTTGAAAAAGACGTTGATAAAGCATCATCTTCCAAAGTGTACAGATATACTTCTTTTTTTGTTCTTGGAACTTCTGGAGTTTACTACAAACAAGCGAAACTTATCCCTTTCATGAAGGTCAGCCTTTTAGAGGCTTGTCAGTTGGTTGACGAAAAATGCTTTTTCAATCAAGTAATATGAGAGCAGTGTTGTGTTTCTATCCATCTGAGAAATAGTAAAGTGCTCCCTCCTTCTTTATGTGTCTGAGGTCTTTTTTGGGCCAAAGCCTTTTGAATATAGAAAACTGTCAATAGGGATACTTGTACTTGATACCACTTAGATAACCACATAGGGAAAATGATAAATACGAGGAACCCGCTGGATAGCCTGAGACTATGACACTTGTGTATGGAGAGATTTCAGGGTCTATTCAATGCCAAGTGGACATCCAACAAAACAAGTCTAAAAAACTTCTGTTTCATATTGTTTTCCATAATTTTTCTCCAAATTGGTTGATGGCCCCAGTAAGTATTATCACACTTAGATTAGCTGAAGGTTGGTTAATCAAGAGTGTCTTATTAGTTGCACCTGGCTCTAATAAATCCACTTTACAAAATCATTGAATTAAACTGATTGGCTTAATATCAGACATAAATCCAATTAGAAAATGGGTACTTATCACAGAAAATTAATTATTGATTCATTCACTTTGACTTTACGTGAAATAAACATTAATTTATTTACCTGACAGGGATAGATAGTGCAGAGGTTTAATTAGAAATAAAAAAGAAGCTGTCATGACAGCATTGCATTGTCATAAAACAGAAAAGTTTTTATTCATTGCATTTTTATGTGCTGATCATTTTTGGTTTTTCTCAGCCTGTCCCCATTAGAAAAAAAACAACAGCTACAAAAAGTGGACATAGTATCTATTATGTTTCTGTCTTTACTTGTGTGTGTTTCTTTATTAGGATTCAAATTGTGTCTATGCACATCTGGTTTTGTATCCGATTTCTGAATATCAGCATCACTTATATCTGCTAAGAGGTTAAATTCCTGATTACTGAGTTTTCATTGATTTTATCTTATGTTTTAGGAACTTTTCTGGGATGATCCTTTAGGCCTGGTTGGCATTAGCTGAAGACACAATGAATGAGCTCCACATTTGTGTTGGAGGCAGCGCAGAAACCGACGTTTAGGAGTGGGGGTAAATGTGAAATGTGGTAGGGATGACAGGATGTTCCCTTCTCTTATCCTCAAACTTCTGGTTGCACCCAGATTAATGGCTGTGCACCAGCAGAGCACAGGCTCGGCTGCATGCCTGCTTGCCTCTCTTCTTCCCCGCTGATCCATCTCTCCTGTTCTGAGCCCATTAAGCGCTTTGCTTTCTCCTCCAACAGAGGCGACGTATGAGTTATGGACAATGGACTCAGGCAGAGCTGAAGAGAATGCAAGGAGATGGATTTGTTTGCATTGTACTTTAGGGAAGAATAATTTAGTTAAATATGCAACAGGGAGAGGGATGTTTTGGCGGGCGTGTTCTCCAGCATGACTGTCTGTAGTGAGCAGGCTGTGTATTAACCTCTGCTCAAAGCTTTCATGAAAAAAAACGTGCCAACACTTCGACTAAAACCTAAGCTCATTTATCACAGTGACACGTCTATGACTACAGGCTTTTATTATCATTATACAGTGGGCATGAACTGATTTGGCAGGAATAAAATGGTCCTCATAATTCAATAAGACATTCATTCACATGTGTTGTTCTCAGCTCTATTCAAATATGCAAAAGTGGGATGGTGAGAAAATGAGATTTCACAGAGTCTGTTCTGAGTGTTAGACAGCAATGTTGTGTGCATTCACAACAACAACTGCATCCTGCAACTGAAATGGAGATGGAAGCAAAGAGCTGTGATGGTGTGAGGGAAATGGATTTCTTACCAGTGGTTTCAACGATGCCCTCGAGGATAACAACGATCTCAAACTGTTCGTTCATGAGAGAGCGCTGAGACAAGTCAAAAAAGGGGCTTTTGGGATTAATTTCATGGCAAATGGTGAGAGGGGACACCAAGAAGAGCTGGTCTGCACCCGTTCCAAACCCAACATCCAGCTCACACTGGTCCAGAGGCAGGAACTCGCCTTCAGGTGTCTGACGGGACTGGAGGAAAACAGCAAGAAAGAAGGGAAAGAGGATATTATACACATGCTATTACAAAACAGGGTAAAAGCTTATTTGGAATATGCCTCAAAGCTCAATTCTAATATCCAGCAGCGGAGGTTTTAAGATCCTCAAAAAGAACTCTGTGCAGAGCTTTAGAAATCCTCCATTACAAGCACAACATGATACACTTTCAGCAGCAAGATGGACTTTAAAGAAAGACATCACAGGAACAGGACAAGAAACTTCCATTTTACTGAAATGTAGACCTTTTGCTTTCTTTTCATTTCAGTTTATGTGTGCTAAATACTTTTAAGAAATCTTTAATTTGAACAGCAAGGACTTCAATAATAAAAAATATGCAGTAGTTTGACAACATTTCTAGAACAGAAATACATGCAAATCTTAGAAAAAAAACGTTTTTTTAAAAGCTCCATTACCTCGTAGAGCAATACAATTAAGCAAATCTTAGTCCACAATAAAATAGCACAGAAATGTTGAACATAAATGGAGGAAGATATCAGAACACATGAATAAATGAAAAAGGTCAAATGACAGAAACTTAGGCTTCTTTAGTCAAAACATACAAAGATGTTCTAATTTAAATGCCCCATTAAATTGCATTGCAGGACTTTCTCTCCCTTTTTGTTTGGTTGTGGCTAAAACTGTGAGCCCTGTGAAGTTCTTGGAGGATGTGTGGGCGGACGCGTGGGGCAGCTGTGCTCAGATGGGTATTTGCCCACAGTGGGTTAACTGGTGCAGAAGCATTTAATTGTCCAGATGATGTTAAGAGTCCTGGACATTTTTTACTCTTATTTTTCCTTCTTTCCTTCGCCATGTCCTCAATTAATAGTTTGTTTGATCTTCAATATTTTCATTGTTTTTTATAGTTGAAATGACAGAGGTAGTATTAAGAGACACAAAATACCAAGTAATTGTCCTTTCCCATGGCACACAACAAGGTAATCTGTCTAAACTGCCATTGCTCTGCTGATGTTTGTCCATTGGTTTCTTTAGCTGGAAACCAATCTTCAATGAGACGACTTTTCCTTTAAATTGACATTTAATGAAATGGACAGTATCTTGTACTCTTTATAGTAATACATATTGATCATACAATGATTGAATCACATCAGAGAAAGTCAAATTATTAACAGCAGGTAGTTTTTCTTCTCTGGTCATTGATGAAATAAAATCAAATAAAGTTCCCAAGCCTCAATGCAATATTTCAAAGAGTTTTCTCTTTTTCAGGTTGGGAAAATCTGATATCTTCACAACCTTTTTCTCAATTAGTTGTCTGAATGGATACCAACGCTCGGATTCATCATAATATGTCTACTAATCTGGAGTTCTTATGATTAGTTTTTGGTCGTATTCAACTCACAAAAAACAACAACAAAGCAACTCTAACTAGATCTCTTTTACACATATGTAGAGTGTCCATGGAGACCAAGCCAAAATGCTCAAATCAAACGTGTGCTGGGTTCTGCTTTGATAGACCACACACTAGGTGAAAACAATCACAGTTAATAATTACCTAGAGTAGATTGCCCTTCTTCTACCTCATTCGAACACTGAAACTTCAGCACTGTGGCAACCAAACCCAGCCGGCTTGTCAGCAACATTCTCCTGTCTTTTATCCCTCTGAGATCCAACTGTGAATGAGCTGTGAGTGGACAGGCTTTGTATTGAACGAAGAAAAAGTGCATTGTCCTGTTCATATCAGCGAAACGCTCCACAGGATTGTGCTGGAGGTGGCTGTCATCTCTGCGGGGGATTGTTCACATGTCGGGAACTCAACACCGTTTAGCATCATTCCTCGTTGGCTTTGGGAAATCCTACATTTCACTTTATGTCTTCGTCGCTTTACATTAAGAAGATGGATGACTGCATGCAAATGCTGAGCTCCTGGGACAGGCCCCGTTGGCACAGGGCTGCAGTCCCTGCACAAAGATTCAGAGATAGTTGCTCTTGTCTGCTGTTTTTTTTTTCTTTTCTTAGAAAATCTGAAATACAGTCGCCACAAACACATTTTTCTGCAGGAGCTCTGACAACTGACGACAGTTTTTTTTCCTACAATTTTGGGGTGAGTGGAGATGAAGAAGCAGATAAACACGTTTCTGTGAAAAAATATTACCTACCGCGTTTTGTGATTGCTTGCCAGCCCATTCAGTCTAAAAAAAACCCTGTTTTCCCCCTTATGTTAAAAAACAACATTTCAATTTTTTGAGTGGTGCTCATTGATAAATACGTGAGATGAATTGATTACAACTGAAATATTCTGATGTTCCATCTTAATTCTCTGTGATCTGCCAGGCCACCATCAGTCAGTATCAGCAGAAGAGAAACGGTGGAGGATTTTGCAGGCTGTCAAACTGACTGACAAGCTGGTCGAATCACAACGACTTCCACCTGCCAGATACCATAAGCATCAGCAGAACATTTAACAAGAGCGGACGGGCCACCTCCTGCTTCGGAGAGCCCAGAAATAGTACGTTGAATTTGAGTTGAATGAGCTGAATCAAATAATCAGAGTCAATCTGATCTCACAGAAGTGCCTGAAACAACCTCTTTAAGACCTAATTATCTGCTGAAGTTCCAAAGTCCAATTTGCTCAGCTGGGTGCATGATTCTAGGGAAAACTCATCCACACTTCTGGGATGGAACAAACATTATGCTGCTTTATTCTTGAATATTCTTTTTCTGGTTATTAGTGATTTTCAGTCTGTTTTTAATGGTGCCAAACATTGATTTGGTTTAGGGTTAGGGTTAGACATTTTCCTAAAATAGTCTGATGTCAACAATGCCGAAACATTGCTTGAGCACCTCTTTTTTGTTACTCTCCATGGTACTTTAAGAATATTATGTGCCATCAAATGTGCTGAGTATAAACTGAGAATGGGCTGTGAGGCACTATTTAATCTTTAACCTTTTACCCTGGCTAGGATTGGTAGCAGGTTGATCAGCACAGGTTCACACAATGGTTTCTACTAATTTAACATTAAAAAAGACATTTGGGAATTGTAGCCAACGCTTGAACCTTTTTGTTTTTTGTTTTAGATGTGGGAAATAGAATAAATTGTAGCTCATGTAAGTGACCTGTATCTATAATCATTATTATGTGTCCAAACAGTCTGAGAAGAGAGCAAGTTGAGCTCAGCCAACAGTGATTGGGCAGCATGGATTTTTTTGTCTTTTACTCTCTCCAGGGAGAAAATGTCTGTATTTTTTTTTCTTTTTAGGATGTGTGAGGATAAAGTCCACTGAGACGCAACAGAAGGCCACAATGAAAAGATGCGTTTCAGGTTTAATTTAGCCCGAGCTGTTGGACTGACAGCAACATGAGGGAAAAGACAATAATGGGACATCTGTTTGCACACATAATTGAGTCTTGAGCCACAAGAAAAACGTGGCTCAACACTGTTCGGTTTGGCTGATTATTGTTCACACCTCAATTCACAAAGCAGACAAAACTCCATGAACATTTGACTTATTAAGTTATTTTTTGTTAAATGATAGTTACAGCAATAGTTTCATAACCAAGCAACAGCTTTATGCTATTAATATTCCTTTAATGGCAATCATTTTTAGTCTAAGTTCTCTATATTGTTTTTTAGCTCATCATTTCCACCTTCTGAATTGGAAAGCGTCTAAATTCTTTGCATTAGAGGACATTTTTCACATTTTCCTCGGCCTTTGTTTAAAATAAAAAACCATAACCATGCTTCTTTATTCAAGGAAAATAAAGTGGAATGTTTGTATTTGTGAACAGAAAGGTTTGCGCCAATTTACTTTATTTTTGATCAGGTACGTAGGAAGTAACATCCGAAGGCAAGATAAAATCTAACTCCTGCACACTGTCCTTTTTACTTTGAGAATACTTTATTGGAAATACAACTTTGCACCATCGGTAGGTGAAACTTGTTTTTCCAATGCGTTTAAATCTACACTTTGGTTTGGATGGATCCAAAGACAGGGCCCCCAATGTGTGTGTTTGTGTATTTTTAAGTGTGAGTCCTCACTGCAACAAAACAACTTTTGCAGGATTATTCAAGCACAGAGTACAAACAGAAGAGGGGCATGAGCAGCCCTGACCGGCTCTGAGGAACATTAATCAATGAGTTCAGGGCATCAAGGCCTCACTCCATTCCTCCTCGAGCTGATCGTTTTATTAAATCCCTTCTCCATCGATTAAAGAAAAAAAGTCAATCAATTCTAGTTTTAGTACTTTTTGCAATCCTAACTGAAGATGTACGTCAAAAATATTGAGAAAGTAACTTTCTTGTTCAGTCTCCTGAGCCCATGAAACATTTTCCATCAATTTCTCTCCCCGGCCACCTTCCCAGTGAAACCTAATTCATCATTTCTGTGTGGACGTTTCCAACAGGGTGGCCTCCCAGGCCATCATGGATGCCCAGCAAAGCTGTGTGTCAGCTGCTTATTGTGGGACTCACACCGCTCTGTGACGCTTTCTGCCTGCTGTCATCCAGTATTCCTCATCACAAGAATTTTCTGGTGTTCCAAATGAGGGGTTGGATTATTTTTTATTATCAAATAATGAGGTGATTATTTTCTTTCACAAATTAATTAGCTCACAATGTGAGAAAAATGATCTGAAGTGATAAGATGTGGAAATTAAATGAGGTTTTTCACATTTAAAATCGTTGCTTTATGTAAAAAACTGAACATTAATGGCCACATGTGAAAAAGATCCATCTCAAATTCAAATATAGAGACAGCAGACATCTGAAATCTACACCAGAATGATGATATTTTCCTGAAACTGAGGCCAGTGCAGACCAACTGAGCAGCAGATTGCTGCGTTGCTCTGTGAAGTATCTGCACAGTTTGAGATTAAACACAGCCAAAAAAATCCTCTCTGGTATACCGGACTTTAGTTAAGGGACAGGCAAAACCACCCTCTGCATGCTGGCGTGGGCAGACTGCCAAAGGCCCACTTTAAACCAAAGGTCAGTGGGTCCGGGAATTGAAGTTAGAGTGGCGAAAGACTGGTGTTTTTATTCTGCATGGAAAAGTACTTCTGTCTGCATTATCCACGCATTGTAAGTGAGGGATGGTGGCTATTTCAGCTGACATACAGAATAATTACAGGCTTGTTGCGAAATAAAGGGCAATGCTTGCCTTTTCTCCTGCCAGCACAGGAAGTTACAGTTAAAAGAATATATTCTAAATATGTTTTAAAGTGAATTAATGAATGGTTAAGTCATTTTATAAAATCGTTTTGAAAATGCGTGTTCATCGTAGTTATTCTAACCACAGATCAGCACCCAAATCGACTTTTCTGTGGTCCGCATTCACAGCTCCACGCAGAGAACCAAATAGTTTTAAGTTTTAAGAATCAACCCAAAAGAAAAGCAAAGCCTGATAAAGGAGGTTGGACGCACTGGAGACCAGAAAAGATGCAATCTTTCAAACGAATAACCCTGATGAACAAATAGTTTTTAAAAAATGTTTGCATTTGTAGGAGACTTCACACAATGCTCATTTACTTTGTACCTTGAGATGAAGCCAGTCTCCACAAAGTTTATGTATAACTTTAAAGGAGTAATCTGCCTGTAAAGTCTAAGCATCTTTTAATGAAGCTTGACTGAATGAGGGCTGCAGTTCAACAGCACCACCAACATCTCCAGTCAGGGACTGCACGGCCGGAATTCAACTTAAAATATCATCCATCTAAGTATCACATATAGTGTGTAATTTAAGGTTGTTGCATAATTCACAGTGCCTTTGTTTCTGTTGTTCACCTGTGTTTATCCTCCTGTTTTTTGGTCTTTATTAAATATATTTTTGTGGTCTGTAGTCTGGCAGAGCTGTTGTTCGGCGACGGAATATTTGAAGCAAAAGAACAAGGTTAGACCGCAAAGCCCTGGAGCAAAAAGGAAAAAAATGTGCAAAGGAGCACACAGTGGATGATGTGTGTATTGTTTTCCACAGAGAGTCTTTTAGTCCAGAAGAAAAGTAAAACAAAAATGGTTCTAGAGTATAAAATAAATTGAAAATGTATTTTTATTTTTCGTATTCATACAAATTTAACATATTATATGTATGATAATGTATTTATGATTTTTTTTTTTTACTATTCATGCCATCTACTCTGGGAAAAAATCCTTTTGGCTCATACACATATCAGCTTGCATCTTATCTAAAGACAACATGTGGCTGTAGGAATTTCACAGTGACTTTCATACATGAGAGTGGAGGGAAGCGTCCGTGCAGTTTGGTGATTGTACTTTGTGCCTTTGGGACTGTTCACCATCTCCACAGCTCGGCTCTCCCTGCCTCCCCCTCTGCCAGTATGCATCATTAAGCTGACCAATGCTGAGCTCGATGTGGCTGCACAGAGAGGAACACGGACATAAACAAGCTCATAGCACCTCGCTAATGCTGTTTATCTTCTTTATGGCCCATTTTGCTCACTGAACATGGATGTGGCTGAAGGAAGCTCTATTACGGTAATTAAAAGAGGAGCCGTTGGAGCGTGGTTGTGTTTGTGGTCATTTTCTGCATTGCTGCCTGTTTTCACAGTGCGAGGTTCATTAGCTGAGCTCACTCTGGAAGTGCTGAACTCTTTATTAGTGATGAGGACTCAAATGCATACCTGTATCCCCTTTTATGGTGGTGCTTATTGGTGCCTGTTTAATGTCTTAAGCCTGAAATTAAAAGAAACCCTTTCAAGTAAATATAATAATACTTTTTACACAGTTAATCTTAAATGACCATGAAGTTCTCAAATTCTCCGACCAATGAGTTCAACTTTGCTCCAAAAGTGCTGCATTTCCTCTTTCTGATACAGCACTTTCTGTGACAAACACAGCTGTTCACCCATGCTGCAGGGGTCCTAACAAAGACCAGCACAGCTTTTGCTCTCTTATCTCAGTGCTTTGAGGTGCTACCTACCTGGCTGCCAGTCAGCCTCGCCATCCTGCAGTTGGAGATTATGCTAATGCCACCTTAAGCTGCTTTGTTAAACAAGGTCTGTGCGTGTTGCAGGGCGTGCTTACAATGAAGCAGTGGATAAAAAAATGCTAATATTAACCTTTGATATGCAATTCGTAGATGTTTCAGTTCCTCGTGGGTTCAGAAGAGGAAGTGAAGTGAATAAAGACTCTTCAGAGATACAAGCTGTCAGTCAAGAGTGCAGCCATATTGAAAACAAGCATCTTTTTTAGTTTCCATGGACTCCTGTGATTTATATGAGCTGCCAGAGTGCCAGAGAAAGACGGTGATGTCTATAGAGTGCTGACAGGAGCTTCAGTTCACAGAAGTTAACTTTGTTCCATTAAGCTGGGTATTCATTATACTTATTTAATTGTATTGCTTTATTGGAAGAACATTATGTCTCAATCAAACTCTGCTCCTGCATGCCAGGACTGTTAATTGTGACTCTTAGTTTTGCATTGATCTCGTGATTCTTACCTTAATCAGCTTGCACCTGATCTGTGCAGACACCATGTGGCTGTTTCTCAGGTTGCCCACGCGGAACATGAGGCACAGTTTGCCGTCTCTCTGAGAAATCACCGCGTCCTGGCTGAACATGAGCGTCTCCGCGCGTTTCTTGGGCTGGGACATTTTTATAAACATGCAGCCGATGAGGAATGCGTCCACTATGGAGCCCAGGAGTGACTGGAACAAGAAGAGGATGATGCCCTCCGGACACTTCTCCGTAATGTACCTGTAGCCATAACCGATCGTTGCCTCGGTCTCAATGAAGAAGAGGAAAGCAGAGGGGAAGTTGTAAACATTAGCTACGCAGGGGGTGTAGGACGAGTCGTGTCCGTGATTCAAGTCCCCCCTGATGTAAGCAATGATCCACCACATCGATGCCATGACCAGCCACGCAATGGTGTAAGTCAGGATGAAGATGAGTAGGTTCCATCGCCACTTCAGGTCAACCAAAGTGGTGAACAGGTCAGAAAGGTACCTGCTGGTCTCCCCACCGAGGTTTCCGTGCTGCACGTTACAGCGGCCGTTTTTGTCCACGAAACGTTGGCGTTTCTTCTTGACCGGGGCAGAAAAAGTAGTGGCCCGGTTTGTGTTAACCACCTGGTAGTCTTCACCGAATTTTCTACGAAGTGCCGCCATTTCAGTTCTTCTGCGGTGAAAGAAGCAACGTTCACTGTTTAATCCATGTTGTGCTTGTTTTAGCCTCTAAAAAAACTGGTTATCTGCAGTGCGTAAAATGCGCCATGGTCACTTCTGCGCGCGTAATCAATCTACTCAGTAATGAAGAAAAAACGTGTCCCTGTGCTTTTCATGCACAGCTGAGCACCTTTTTGTTTAAAAAAACAAACTGTACTGTCCCTTCTTTTGTTTTACATGACACCACGCGAGCTGTGGTTGTGGCTGTGCGCTCTGCTCAGCCTCCGCTCAGTGGAGCGAAGCTTACGAGGAGCTGTGCCATTCACAGCTTCTAGCGGGATGTTGGAGATAAAGAGGGACGCGTGAGTGTGTGAGAGAGATGTGGAGAGAGGGAGGGAAAAGGGGCAGGGAGAAAGGAAGAGAGTTACACAAGAGGCAGCACAGAGGTGGGCAGTTTGACTCCTGATGTGTGTGTGTGGTTCAGCCGGTCAATCAGATCTGCGCCGGTTTAATTCTGTATTATTCAGGGAGTTGATTAATCTTTTTTTATCACCTGTCCTTCAGGATTGTATTTAAACCATTATTGATGCACATGTGTGATAAACAGCTCTTACAATGTCACACATCCAAACTATTAAAGTATTGAAGGTTCTTCATCCTCGTAAGTTAAACTCTGCCATCTACTGGATAGATAAGAAATGTGCACATTTGAAAGAGGTTTGACGAGATAGGAGTGGGTTTTATTGTATACGTTTTTATTTTTATTTTTATCTATATGTCACTTTCCTAAAAACCTATGCCACCAATAATCGACCGAACAACAGTCATTAAAGTTGAACATCAACAAATAATTTAATTTTCTTGATTATTACTTTGATTACGTGATACCACTGCCTAGATCCATAGGCTTTGCCCTTGTTTTTCTCACATTAATTCAGTCATATGCTCTTTCCTCTGAACTGTTTCTATTGATTTAGTCGTTTGACGTCTAGTTGGTTCTTCCCTGGTCTACTTTTATACCACAGGACGATCATAAAAGGGATGAGTCACCGTTAGATCTAATTCTCCCTTATTTCAATCAGTCAGCTCATAAAAGCCTGTGTCGCATGCGGGTTCTGTTATTGTTAATTAAAGTTTAATTACCCATTTGGTCACAGTGGAAGCATAAAAACATCCTTGAATGATTTCCTTTCACCTGTGAAGTGCTTTTTATTTAGCCTTTTTCCCCTCACCCAGAAGGAGTGTTTCTGATAGGAAGAAGGCACACTTAAGAACAATGTCAAGATCAAATCGTGGCATCATTAACTGATTAACTGCTTTTCGGATACTCTTAAAGTCCTATTTGAGTCTTATATAAATATCATTGTCTGATGTTAGATAACAAAAAATAAAGATAAAAAAGATATCTAAAACTAATGATGCCTGATTATTCCACATTAGACATTTCTGTGAACGTCTTCTTTACGGGAACCGGAATAGGTAGATTCTCAATTGAATGAGTTCCTTTTGGTGTTTGTGTCAAATATAATTTCCTTACTGTGGTTAGGAAAACTGGAGGGAGGCACATACAAGACCTCCTGGGCACAGCTAAAGCCAGCTTTGAGCAAAATGAGATATCAAAGATGAACTGTAATTTTGAACTGTTTCAAAGTGATGCAACGGACATGCAAGAATTCAAACGCCCTGCTGCAAAATTAAAAGAGAAGAATGGCTGAATCCAATGTCCTTATAGATAAGGTCATAATACACCATGTTCACAAGGTGTGAAGTTTTCATCCGTGTCACTTTTTGATGTACAGGTGCTACTCTACAGCTGTTATCAATCTGTGACAGTTAGAGAAGCATCAGCAGGAAAACATCACTCATTGCGCTCAATTATCACTGGAGGGAAGGAGAGTGATAAACACTTGAATCTCAGGCAAAGCCATTTTCGAATATGCATGGAGCCATACCATCAGGAAGTCTGCAAAAAAAAAAGAACACTGTACCATCAAGACGTCCTAATTTTAGGACATAAAACTTGTTTATTACATCATATATTTTTGGTAAGCTGAGTATGTAATGTCTGTTGAATTAAGATGCAGTGGTAGTTTCTCTATTATTCCGACAAATGAGTTTTTTAATGTTATAACGACAGAACCTTCTAGACAAATTCTACCATCCAGACACTAAACCTAATAATTTTTACCAGCATTCAATTCGAAATGTAATCGTCTTTTGTAACATTTAAATCAAAGGTTAAAAATGACAGATCTGCAGTCCAGATAAATGAGAGCCGACAAAATAGATGCTTTCATGTGTCTGTCACAGAAGGTGAATTCTGACCGTTCGTTATCAGACTGTGTGAGAACAGATTTTCAAGAAAGAAGATTAAACGCTGCGTTCGCTTCCACTGCCGGGGTTCGTATTCCCAGGTTTTCAAGTTTGAAATTCATGCAATCAAGGTCTGATTAATTCAAGTTCTATGAGACTTTAAAAAGAGGTTTCTGACTGTCACTGTAAAGGAGATGTACTTTGTAGCATATGAATCATTACACTAAATAAAACCACAGGTTTTTTGGATAAGCAAAGAGGACTGTATCTCAACAGAGGGAGCTCAATATGGCTGTGATCCCCCTGACTATCAAGGATTAGGGTGTCGGCAGCCAGGATGGCCATCTGTTATGTGCATAGGCATCAGGCTTTCCCAGGCACAGCAAACCAAAGAGCCACCACAACACGTCGGACTGCCAAACCTCGTGGTTCTCTGCTGGGCAGTTTCCTCGGATTTGGGAATCAAATGTGGCCGTAAAATCAACATTTGCATTCAAATTATGCGTGCTGTTTGTGTGAGGATGCGATAGTTGCAGGGTAGGAGGGAGCAGGAACAAATACATGCTGCACACAATGAATCATTAATGAGACGTTAGCTTTGATAACCATCTGTGTAATATGAAACACAAATTGCCTCGGACGGACTGTTTTTCCAAACTGCTCTGTTTCCCCCTCAGTAGATTGTCTGAGGAGAATGGGAGCTATGAAGGCACACAAACTCAGGAACCCCAGTGTCTCAGATATTTAAGTCCCAAAGATTCTGCTGATGGAAAGTTGAGTCAGACTTGTTTTTTACTATAAACCAAGGCCGATGTTAAATATTGAATACATTTGCATAAAACACCATTCCAAATGTCTTTTTTGTGGGTTTCTGCTGAAGTTTTTGTTTGGTTTGAGAGCATTTCTCACCCCCATGTGTGCTTCCAGATTCAACACCCGGTTAGCTTATAATGGAATAAGGATTTGAATAGCAGAAATAGCTACCGTGTTGACTCCGTGCCACATGCTTAGGCTGAATTCTCAGAATTCTGAGACTTTTGCATCACTTCACTGTCTGCGTCTAAATTGTGCTTTTTTCTGAAGTAATTGGCTGATTAGCATAAGCAATTTGAAGGGGCTGACTCTGATGTGATCTTAGATGTGTACACGGTTGTTCATCCAGCAGCTCTAAAAGCTTTTTGTCCAAAAACCTCTGTCACAATTCAGTGAATGGCTGGTCTGAGACTCATTCTGTTAGAAAAACACTCAGTGCAGACACAAAAAACCTTTGCAAAGCTGTCTTCTCAAGGCCTGCTCTTTCCCTAATTATTTATTAATAAAAAGATTAAAAAGATGAGATGACATACTATATATGAGAAACCTGATGCGATGAAGAGTCAAAATCATCATTCTGACACATTTTGTTTAGCGTTATAAGATGGCCCAGTTATTTAGAATGACTAGCATGTAGAATTTTTCAGTAGTAAATATTGCTTCTAATTTCATTCTTACAGCAAACATGATTGATTGGATTCTGTTGAAGGTCTCCAGCCATCGCTTATTCCCTCAGACAGGAATATTGTAAGGAAAACAGGAAAAGATTGAAGAGATTAATAGAAGAGTTCACAATAATACATGACCAAAACCAGAGCACTCTAATAAGACTGAAAGTCAAACCAACCTTTACTGTCTTGGACAAGCTTTCTTGTCCTTCCTTCAAGTAGTCTTTAGAAATATTTCTCCAGGCTTCTTGAAGGACAACCCCAAGCTCTTCTATGGATGTTGGCTGCCTTTTGTTCTGTTGTTTGTCAAGAACATCCCACACTGCCTCAATAATGTTGAAGTCTGTGCTCTGGGGGGAGGAACCATTTCCATCAGACCTGTGGCCACTGATTTTCAGTCCACTTTTTGTGCAATTAACTCAGCCGTTTATCCCTCTTGTCCATCCTGAGGAGTGACTTCTTGACAGTACATTCAAAAGACCCTGTCCTATTCTGATTGGCACTTTTTGTCCACCACATGTCCAGTTTCCTAAGACAATTAATGACATTCTGCACACTGCTTAAATACACAATATTTTGAGTGATAGTTATTTGCTGTTTAGGTTTGGTCCTATGAGTACTTTCAGCTGTCAAATGGAAGTTCAAACTGATATTCTTAGAATTAGATAAGGAGAGCAACATTAATATTTTTTTCCTTTATTTTCTTCATTATTACCTATGTTACTCTAGTCTTCTGTAGTATTTCAGTAAATGTCTAAATAAAGTGATTTGGTTGATGCATCAAATCTTTGTCTAAGACAAATTACTTTAGTTTATTATGGCCATGTTAAAAAGCCATAGCTATTTGTTTCAAATTTTGCATGGTCTGTACAGACTGGGGAAATCATAACAAGCCAATTCTGGCCAGAAATGTACGTGCACCACCGTTTTACTTTTGGGATATTTATTATTCATAATCTTAGATCTTGATGTAGCACCACAAAGACACCAGTGTGTTTGTATCATCCATCTATTAACATGCAATGAAAATATAATCAAGAGAAATAAACTTATTTGAAAGGGGAAGTTACAACGGATTTAAATGGATGCTAAAAAGGGGGAAAACCTGTGAAAAGTAAGTATTTCAGGCATTTCGAATTCCGCTAAAGGTGCCATAGGCTGCTGGTGTGAGTCACCCGTCTCTTTTCGGGACGCGTCCCCCTGCGGGACCCACAATGCTGTGCGCCGAGCCAAGATGGAAGAACCCAGCTGCTGCGGGAGAACAATGTTTTGGCTTTAGATATTAAAACGGACTTCTGCGGGTGAACCATACGAGCCACGGCAGCGGGTCATGGTCCTGCACCGGTGAGATAAATTGAGCACGTTTACGAACAGGGGGGGGGGGGGAGCCGGGGGGGCTGCCCGGGTCCAACTCTCCGGACGGGACAGACAACAAAGCGCCGCGCACTAACGTCGTTACCGCTAGTTAGCCGCTAAGTTAGCCGTCTCGGCTAGCCGGGACGAGCATCATTGTTCGCTGGAGTTGTATGGGCCGTTTTGTTGTGGGTCATGCCTCCGTATCGCTCCATCAGTCACACACGGTTAGGAAACAAAGCTAACAACCTGGAGGAAAAAAAGAAAGAAACACAAAGTGTGAGCGAAGCTTCTTTCATTTATTTATTTTTTTTAGCTCAGACCAGTTTTCGTCCTTGATATTTTTCCTCAGCTTGCAGATTTTAGTTACTTTTTTTCAAATCTACCTCAATCAAAAATAATCAATTTCCACTTAAAGATGGGCCGAGCTAACCGCGTCCGTGTTGTGAAAAGAGACTTTTTTCGGTGTTGTGCTGCTGTTTAGTCGCTCGTTTGTTTCGCGGGTTCGGCGGTTATCGGCTGCTGTTATTGCATGGCCATATTAATTATTGCCTGATCCTGCATCACAAAGAAGAAGGGCCCCGCAAGACTGCGTAGCCTGAGCGGTTAGCCCGGGCTGCTAATTTCACAGCCGAGAAAGCGTGGTAGTTTGGGTTAATGAACTTATAGGGCAGAGCAGGCTCCGTCCGCCGAAATCCAGCCCAGAAAGCCCCCGAAGTGGTTGTGTTGCGTTAAGGAATACGTAATTAACGCGTAGAGTAGTTTGGTGGTGGTAGCGGATTTCTGCTAACGCTCCATCAGAGCCAAAAGCCGTTTGGGAGCAGGGACGCACTCACGTTGGATGGGTCGCCAAAAAGAAGGCATGGTGGTTTGATTTTAGTCTGAACGGTGATCGCTGATGAACTAAGCTCTAAAGAGACACTTTACTATCAGTCTTAGATGCTCTTTGTAGTGTAGAACAATCAATTTAATGGTTTAAATCTATGAGAAACAAAGCTGGGCCCATAAACCTGCCTAAAGCTTTATTTAGTTTAAAAAATCTAATTAAAAAGAAAGAGTTTACACTCAGATATAACTGAGTTTATGCACTTTTACCCAAAAACTGTATGTTTCACGTATAAAGAGGATGAGATGTGCCCGCTTTCATTTAGTGTGAATGGCGTTCACCTTCACCTGTTTATTTCCAGCTCATTGGGACGTGAATCACCACCATGTTTGCACAGTTTCCACGTCTTCGGACAACCTCTCGTCTGCTTTGGTTCAATCACACCTGAGTGGAAAACGAGCACCACCAGCTGCTAATCTCCAACAGCTTAACTTTTACAGCACGACTTACCACATTTCAACACCAAGCTGTCTTCAGCGTGTCACGGAAAAAGGAGACTTCCGTCATTTGGAGGGATTGCTAGTTTCACAGCCTAGAAATTCAAAGGCTTGAATTCTAAAGTAATCAGATCCAGCATCCACTTCGGTCTTGTGAATTTGGAAATGGAGCTCCAGAAGCTTATGCAATACCCGCCTCATTATATTGAACTATTAGTCATATTGTGATATGAAAACTGTTAGTAACACACAATTAATTTGTCACAGTTATTTTGGTGACAGAAATCTCTATATTGTGTAACAGCTGCTTGTTCTAATCTGATCAAAACAAGGATAAAACTTAAAGCCTTCATTCTAACATGTCCATAACAGTACTAATTCAAAGCTGTAATGGCTTAAAGACTTCATATGTGTATGCAGGAGCTACAAAAGTACACAAACAGTCATTCGAATGCAGCCCGTGCGCACTCTCATTGACAGATAAGCTCATGCAAATAGGATGACTGGGTCAGACAGCCCCATCCAAAAGATTAATGCACAACTTCAATCCGGTCATGCCTTTTCTGTTGTGTCTAGATTTGTAGTTGTTGTGACCTTTTTGGCTCCAAAACATTGACCATACACACTGTAATCAACCACCAGGAGTTTAATGCTCTGCTTCTCCACCTTGTTTCCTCGTATTCCAGACTGTAGCCCTTTGTTGACCCACAAACCGTCAGTTTAATCCGACTAAGCGCCTGGTGGTGAGATCAGAGACCGTGACACTGATTCCTGAAGACTAGGCTTAACTGGCTTATAACTATTGTCTGTTGACTATTATTTGTTTGTGTCCCCTCGGACCGATTATGGCCTATAATACTGATTTCTAAAAGTGTCATTACTAAGCGTTATTGTTGACATAAATATTTGTTCATTTCATTATTTTCCTCACAGGACTCCACTGATTTGCACCCCATAGTTTTTCTGCCAACCAGCCTTCACCATGAGCATCATACAAGACAAGCTAGGGAATGAATTCCTGCGATCCAACGGGAGCATGGACTCCAATTTCGGAGGGGGCATGATCATGTTCAGTCACCTGCCCCCGGTGACCAGTTTCACCCGGCTCCACACGGTCATGCAGGACCACCCGCCGCAGGAAATGATCCTGAAGAGGGAGCGCGACTCCCCGGACTGCAGCATGGGCGTGCAGGGGGGCAGCCTGGCGTGCGCCGGGGTGGGAGACTACGTCCACGCCATGGGCATCAAGCAGGAGAAGCTCTCGGAGCACGACTACCGCCTGCCGCTCTACCCCGGAGGAATGGGGAAGAGCAGCGAGATGCTGGAGGTGACCGTCAGCAACAACCAGAACCTGCTGCTGCACGACGCCAACATGGCCAGCGTGAGTACGGCCGCGCTTACCGCCAAGAGCGCCTCCTCATTCCTCCTCTCTGATCGTCCTGCAATGATTTTTTTTTTTACAAATGGAATCAATAATATGAGTAACATACTGAGCTCATCTCCGTCTGATTTTGAGGTTGTTAGATTTTTTTGCAGTTCTCTGCTGTGTACAGATGATGTGTCGGACTTCATACGACCACATGAGAGCGCCCAATCCAAAAATGGGACCAGCGAGGGTGAAAAATGCCACAAAACAAAAGGTGGATGCGGTATAATGAATGAAATCCCTGAACAACAGCAGGCTGATGAGCTGTCTTATCTTGGAAACCTCATCACATCGTGGACAAAAGGGAAAAGCATTTGTTTTTAAGGACAAAGCTTTACTAAGAGGTAGTCGTTTCAGGTCTGTTGTGGTTCTAGAACAGGGAGGTGTGTACAGGTGAAGCAAAAGCCACAGGAAAATAAATGCCCTGTTTTCCTATATCTCCATTTAAACAGTGCTCATAAATCCTACTTCTTAGAAGCACATCTCACCTTTTTTGAAATGCTGGGAGCTGAGGGAAGAGTCTTAACTCCTTCTGAACAGCTTCTTTAGAGATTATGAAGCTTGACTTTGAACTGGCTCAAACATCGGTCCTGCTCCTGCCTCACTCCTCACATTTATTTCATCTATTAATTTTTAGTTAAAAGTAAAATACGAAATTTGCTCTTCATCTGCTCATCTGGCGTTCTTTTCCTGGTTGCTGTTGAAATACAGCTGTGTTCCAGTCTTTTCAGCCCTTTTACTGTCACAGGCAGGATTATCTGTTTTATTCATCTATTCAGTTTTTATGTTACGATCAGTGTGGGACATTTATTTTTAAGGACACGCAGGGGAAACCTACATGTTGGAATTATTTCGGGCCTCATTGTTATTTAAAATCCTGAGAACGAGGAGCCTGATGGCGGTGCACAGAAGCCAGTGTGAACCTCGTTATGGAGACATAAATCTGCCGACGGCTTGAGATGCAAAGTAGTTTCTCTTTTTGGGCAGAGGGGTGATGTCACCCGGCCCCAGTCTGAATGAGAATGTTTTGGCAAGGACACAGCTGTCTTGTTTGAGCTTGCACTTAATTTCAGACGTCTTTTGTGCCCGTTCAAATAGAAATATACACATCCACACTCTCCTAACAATAGTAAGTCCTCAGAGGTCACCAAGGCTGAATATTGAACAGATTCAGTTATTGTCTTCTTTTAACCGCCTTTTTTTCCTCAAACTGTCTGGTCAAGGACAATATGAGCACAAACTCACATTTATACGTCAGTCTCATATTCTCTATTCAGCTCAAGATTCCAAAGTCTTCACTAATTGCTCTGTGGGTTGTTCTTAAAATGTGTGGCTCCACAAATGAAAAATGGTAGTATTCTGCATTATCCAGGATGACGCCTGGTTTTGATCAGATGTTCATGAATTCTTTTCTGGAGTTGGTTTAGGCCGTTCATGAGAGTTTTCTGATACAGTTAGGGCTGATTACAGAGATCATTCAGTCTGCTTAGTAAAGCTTGAAATTGCTCGCATCCCATGAAGATGATTACTTGTGCGTGCTTTGTTTTGTTTAGTTTTCACCCACCAAAGCTAAACTTTTGGAGACCTTATGAACACCTTTCTATTTTAGCCTATCTCTCCCATGTTTTTCCTTTAAACATTGGGCTGATTTTAAGAACAGCAGGTGCACCCGCGCTGGTGTTGTATGTTTCCATATGACCGAGGGGAGCTGAGTGCAGGAAGGCAGAGGACTCTGCAGCCCCTTTCTCCCTCTGGATTAATGCTTGTGTCCCAATCGTTTTGAATTCGCTGCTCAGTTTGTTGATCATTTGGTTAGTACAGAGGAGGAAACGCCTCATTGATGCCGCAGCTCCATAAGAGGATGCTCACTTTAACCACAAATTTCACAGTGAGTCCTCGGGTCTGTGCGCCTTATACCGAATGTTTTGTTTTTCTGCAGGAGCGAAAAACATGGACTTGTTTTTGTGATCATCTTAGACCAGAGTGCCCTAATCTCCAGTCAAGAGATTCCCTTGTCATGCTCGCTCTCACGGCCTTCTCCCTCTCCCTTTGTCATCCCCGCAGCTGCCGAGTCAGTTAGAAAAGGAGGCCACTGGGAGGAAAGGTCGGAGGTCAAACGCTGATGGACAGGAGGGTAAACCAAGAAGGAAGAGAAGTGAGGCCAAGGTTTGTATTTATCTGTTTGTGAATGTAGTCCTATTCTAATTAGTCCCTCCTGCACTCATTAGCTTGTAATGTATGTGTGTATATATATATACATACACTATTTCTTTGTCCTCACCTTAAAATATTCTCCTCTTTTGTAAAGTTTTGTCATGAAAACAGGACAAAGAATCTGATGCTTAGCTATCATTTGGAGTTTTAAAACTTGAACTGATTTGGAGTTGTGATTTTCTGTTTTACATAATTTGCAAAACAAAGTCTCCCGGTGACTCTGACCCCCCCCCCGCCCCCCTTCTCTGCCCTGTATTGTTCTGCAGCAATCAATGATGCTGGATACAGATGGAGGCAGCCTGTCTCCCGGAAGCAAGCCTCACATCTGCGAACACTGCACTGCATCCTTCAGAAGCTCGTACCACCTCCGCAGACATGTCCTGATTCACACAGGTACGAGAGCCTGCGCTTTCTCCTCTGTGCTCTCAGCGTGTCCCGCACAAGTCAGCTGTAGTGGACAGATACTGAGATTATGTCACTTTGAATAGACCTTTCTAAAGTGAGGTGATGGTCCATGAACTCTTTCCACTGACAGAAACTTGAATCTTCCAAAAACTCAAGAGAATGATGCAATCATTGCTAATGTGACAAAAGACCAGAAAGAGCCTCAGAGGAAAACTGGAGCTGTGCAGTCACGTATGAATAATGTTCCTCTCTACAACTCCCTCCACTGCTTCCATGATTCATCTGAGCCTTTTTCTCAAAAGAAGCACCTCGCGTTTTGGTTGAAAACAGCAAAAAGAAAATCCTTTCGTGCCTGAAACGGCAGGAAAGGGAACGCATGATTTTGTCTCCTCATCACCCTAAAAGCCCGGGCTTTCCTCCGGCAGCTTTTCAGACGTCCTCTGTCCGAGTCTGCAGCTCAACAACCGGCTGCTGCCTCTGAGTCAGCGCTGAAGTTGAGCGGCGTCGTGCTCACCTCGGGGCCCGCCCTTACAGAGCTGTTCTAACATCAGACAGTCAGACCGGCTCAGCAGACCCTGTTTAAATCGAGTTACTCATCAGCCTAAAAGCACGATTAAATAACAGTTTCTCAGAGGGGCCCCCTCACAAGTCGGTTTTCTGCTCAGCATTCCATGATAAGATATAGTTTGGAGGACGCTTAAATGTAGTGGTTTTGTGTTTATCTCCTGGGCAGCGATTGGTTTATAGATTCAGGTTGGCTTTCAGTGAGAGCTGACCGGACCTCTGCTCGTGCTCGCTCCATCAGGTCATAACATGAAGGCAGTCGTCATGCGTGGTGGTAACACGCCTCTCCTGTGCTTCATCTTTAAGGTGAAAGGCCGTTCAGGTGCAATCAGTGCAACATGAGCTTCATTCAGAAGTACCTGCTTCAGCGACACGAGAAGATCCACAGTGGTGAGTAATTGGCAATTAAGCCAATCACGTAACCCGAGGCCCCGATGCCATCCGCGAGCAGCAAAGCGAGATTAACCTGGCGTCGTGCTGCTCTTGTGTAACAGGAGAGAAGCCATTCAGCTGCGACCAGTGTAACATGCGATTTATTCAGAAGTACCACATGGAGAGGCACAAGAGGACGCACAGCGGAGAGAAGCCCTACAGATGTGAGACCTGCCAACAGGTTCGTATCGCCACCAAGTCTTCACTGTTTGACCGTACGATGCAAATTTGAAGTTGCTAACGACAACACGTGCTCCTCAGTATTTTTCTAGAACAGATCGACTTCTTAAGCACAAGCGAACCTGTGGAGAAGCCATAAAGAAGGGGCTGGATCCTGGGATGATGGACCTGGGCTGTGTAGACATGGGACAGGGCAGCTATGGAATCACTCAGGGAAATTCTGGGACTTCTGGGAGAAGGAGAGCGAGGTCCAAAAATGGCGGAGAGGGAGGCGAGCGCAAGAAGAAAAAGGGATATGCTGGCGGGGGGAGGGAGCCGCATATTGCTGGAGCTGTACCCGGAGGCTACGGCATCCAGGAGTATTCCGTGGGGAATCAAACTGTGTCGTCCTCCACCGAGCCGGGGCCCAGCATGCAGCAGAGCCACCACGCCCGCGCCCCGAAGATGGCCTTCAAGAAGGGTGGCCGCAAGAGCCTGGACAAAGCCGGCCAGGGGCAGGCCAAGACGGGGCCGCTGGAGCAGCAGGGTGGGGGCATGGACGGCCTGGGCCTCATGCAGGGAAACGAGGCCAAAGTGGGATCCACCAGCAGCAACTACGACGACGCCATGCAGTTCCTGAAGAAGCGGCGCTACCTTCACGCTGCAAACAGTGTTAACCCCTCGCTGCCCGCGGGGCCCGGGGGGGGCAGCAGCGAGTACGACGTCAGTGTTCACCTGTCCACCCAGCCCTCCGTCATCCAGGGGGGGGTCCCCGGCGAGATGGACGCCGACGCCTCTCTGAGTCTGGACAAGTCGGGCATCCCAGATGAGGTGCTGCAGAGCCTGCTGGACCATTACACCCAAAAGCCCGACGGCTCGCACAACGATGTCCACTTCGACCTGAGCGACCACCACGTGGACCTGCACCCCGCCGACGGCGCCGACGCCCCCAGCCCGGCGGAGGACAAGACCGTGATGATGCACGAGTACTCCCGCTTCCTGCTGCAGGCTCTGGAGCGCACCAGCCACAGTGCCAGCTTCCCCCTGGGCCCGGGGCCCCCCCCCTCGGGACTCTTCACCAGCTCGCACCCAGGAAACCAGCTTTACGCCGACAAGAGCATCTACACTACGTCCCCGCTGGAGTGCGGGTTCGGCCAATCGGTGGCCTCGCCTTCGCTGCCCACCTCCGTGCCAAAGTCCCACTTTGCGATGCTGACCGGCTCGTCCCCGCAGCACAGCTTCCACCTGAGCGGCCTGGAGGCCTCGGCGCACCAGCAGCTCACCCCGTCTCAGGAGCTCACCGAGCAGCTGGAGAAGCATCACTCCGCCACCCCCCCCTCGTCCTTCCAGATCAGCCCATCCGACCTGAGCGGCCAGAAGGACCAGCCGCCGCTCAAGAACGGCCACAGCGGGCCGGCCGTCTACACTCTGGTCCCCTCGCAGGATCTGGCTTCCTTGGACTCCAAGCCTTCCTACCAGATAGAGAACTTTGCCCAGGCCTTCGGCACCCAGTTCAAGTCGGACGGCCACGGCCTGTCGTACGGCGCGGACTCTGGCGGGGAGGTGGATCACAGGATACGGACGCCTGTGTCCGAATTCTCAGGGTATAGTAGTTTGTTGTCTGATGTCAATGAGCCAGTTAGTACAGGTTCCAAAACACCAACAAGCCAAAGCTACAGATGAGAGCTTGAGAGGGAGAGAACACTCGGCCGTTCTTCTTTACATTATTTTTTTTTCGTGCTCCTATTTTATAATTATTATTGTTCGGATTTTTTTTATGTTACATCTATATTTTAATTATACCGTTGTTCTGTCTCTGTGCCCACTCCTCTCCCTGCAATAAGCCTGCAAGGCACCCTGCAAATGCAATTTTTTAAAAAGTATCTGTTGTTTTTAAGTTAAAAAATGTCTTTTACTGTTAAATCTGGTCATGCTCGTGTCCGGTCGGTTTGGAGGAACTGAGAGTACTTTTTGAGTAAGCGCGGGATCCATTTCTTTTTCAACGATCTGAGGTGTTTGAGCAATCCAACTTTACACGTGTAAAATAATGTTCGAAAGAAACGCGATGGCAGGGAATTGCCCGGAATGAATATGGCATAAAAAGGAAAAAAAAAAAAAAAGTTGTCTGTTACAGGTATTACTCAGGAAAAAGTGAGAAGAGAGGAGCTTACAGGGGGCAGTGAGCACTCTTTTCAGACGCGTAAGTTTGCAAATTCAAAGAGGATTTTTATGTTTTCATACTTGTTGAATGAGTGTGACGAAAACAGACTGCTGCCAGCTCACTTGAACACTGAGAACACTTTCTACTTGGCTATATAGAGATTATGGTACTTTCATGTCAATGTGAAACTCATGTTTTCTTCAATAAGGGCCGTATATGTTAATTTCTCTATATATTTATAAGAATATATATTATGTAAAGTTACAGTTTTAATCATTTGGGATCTGCCAGTCAAAGTTGGGGAGGGAGCTGCTCCAGGGGGCTAAACGTTGTTTGTCCTGGCCGTGTTCCTGGACAACAGAAGTGACGTTTGGGCTTCTCTCGGCCGTTAGAGGTTGCTGTTGGACAGCGGTTCTCCCGTTCTCGTCTTTTTTTTTTTTCATCTTATTTATCTAAAAGAGTCCGCTTAGCACTTTGAGCTTCTTTCTCACGTTGTGTAAAGTTCCCTGTTGGATCGAGCTCAAATGTTTGGAACGAACTGGCTTTTGGACAGTCGCTGTACGGGCATATGCAGATGGAGTCTCCGGGGTGGAGCTGACCGTGGGCGGGGGGGGGGGGGGGGGGGGGGGGGGGTTCCTTTTTGTCGGGGTAACGCAGGATGAAGGAAGGGGAGGGCTGACATGTGAAAAGCTTCCTTTTGTTCTTACTTTCGGGGAGGGTTTAGCTCGGGATTGTGGGTGGGATTTTTTTAAAACCGTGATATTTAATCGGGATTATGTAAATGTAATTCGAACCCCTAGTTTTAGTTGCCTTGATAAATGAATTAGCAGCTTTTGCTCTTGTATCGACTTTAAGGACAAAATGCATAAACGATCAAACTCTGGCGCAGCAACGTACAGGATGTGCAAAAACACGGCTGACTCGGCATTTGTACACTTCAGACTCCGTGGGCTGTGGAGCATTTGTGTCCTGTTAGAAACTGGGTGCCTATTCCTTCTGAAGAACAGGTGCAAGATATTGTCTAGTTAATGTTAGATGTACCTTCTTGCGGATTTTGACTTTTTTTTTTTTTTTTTTTTGTCTTACTAAGGACAATTGCATTGTCTTCCATAGCAACAACTGGCCTTGATTGCTGGAAATGATATCACTCTGCTGCTCTGAATGAGTCTTTGAACCCCATTGTGCCCCGATGACCTGTTAAAGCAATCATTGAACATGGCAGAGCGAGCGCAGTGCCGCCATATCACGAATGAGTCGCCATGTGGAGGCATTAAACCGCAGTTCGCCTCACCTTTACCTCATATCGCTGCAAACCAGGGACAAAGATGTGAAGGTTTGTATGAAGCTGGAA